ACAAGTATTGACGCCGACAACCGAGTTCATCAACTTTAAACACACATATCTCATTTTCTGTAGATGATAACAAAAAGTAGTGAACTGATTAACTGTTTATTTCGCCAGTTGTCCGCTTTTTGATATCTCCCACAGGAAACAAGATAAATTGGCTTAAAGGTAACTGTTTAGGCAAGCTGATATTAGAGCAAATACGGTACTTATACACTGTCAACTATGATCCCATATACCTCGTTTGCTGTGATAGATATCAAAAAATTATCAACTGGCAAAATGTTTATCATGATATCATCAATATTTTATCAGTTGACAAATGTTTGATATCTATTACAGAAAGTGAGATAATTGAGCTCAAACTTACATGGAGACTTCCTGATGATCCTGGACATTTTTGAGCGATTCTTGAAAGCTTTATACAGACGTTTCCTCCAATCTCGTATTGAATCCAGTTTAGTTTCAGATGTAATTCTTCCTTCACTTCTGATTTTGGAAGATTCTACAGAAGATGTCGGAAATTCTTCTTCTGGCTCACTGGAGGGGATCAGAGTTGGGAATTCAGGTGGAGGTGGGGCAGTGACCTTAAGGAAGTTTAATATTTCAAAATTCAAACAAAAGAACAAGGGCGGTACCGAATTATCTGTCAGCTCCTGGTTAGAGTCATCCAAGTCCTCCTCCTTAGATTTAGAGGATCCAGTTAACATTTCCAATCGTTCTTCATTATTTATGGATGGGAAAAAGTTATTGAGATTCTCCAAAAGCCTCGTTTTCAGAAACGCCTTGTTGCCCTGAGTACCTCCATCGAATATAGAGTCATTCTTTAGAATTCCAAAGTCACTTTGTTTAGAATCAACCAAAGTATACAATGCCAACAATAGGGTTACTGTAGACACACCATCTACAGTAACCCGTCTGGTGACTTTCATAGTGATTGGGAAAATGGCAATAAAAATAGGCTTGTAAGCCGCTATTTCAAAATACTGTCCTCTTCTCTCTTCGGGATATGAGAAAAGTGGTTCAAGTGGGCGCAAAACTAGCCAGATGGCCGCACGTTTTCGAACGGAATGAGAATGAAAAAGACGGTGGATGAATAATTGCTTATTTGCTAATGTTTTTGCGCTTGAAAACATATGGAAGAAGAAACCGATTATTGACCGTTTAGGTGAGAAGGAGACTAGTCAAGGATTGCGGCGGGGGAGGGACTTTTCTGAAATTGGTAATTCATTAAGAAAGGAAACATCTAGAACAATTTTATGTTAAAATCTAATTAATTTGCCTGGAATTCGAAGGAACCAGGACATACAAAAACGGACCAAAAACGGACGGACATCGAGCCACGGACAGCCAACGGACAGCCGAAAATGGCCGGACCACGGGCAGCGGCCCGCCAAAATGGAAAATGGCCGGACAACGGACAGACAACGGACGGACAACGGATGGACAGCGGACGGACAACGGACGGACAACAAACGGACAACGGACGAACAACGGATGGAAAACAGACGAAGGGCGGACGGAAAACGGACGGAACACGAACTGACGACGGACGCACCGCGGACGGACCACGGACGGACCACAGATGGAACTAATTTTCTATAAATCAAACGTTTTCACTTCGTCTCTCACTGTGATACTCACTCTCGATTCAATTTGGATTCTTATCCATAGAGCACATTTGCAGAGCCCGCCTGATTTAGAACCCTGTGGCAATCTTTCTGTCCTCCGTACCAATTACCGTAAACACTCGGCTATCCTTTAGATTTTTAAACTTCCTCAAATTGCCATAGAGTCTCTTCCCGGAGTTGTCTTCTCTGACATCACTTTCCGAAATTCTTATTTTCAACTTCTTCTTTTTCCTTGTGATTCATAAATAGTTTTAGTGTTATCTCCTTTTTCTTCATTATTGGCTTCTTTCAGTCATGCGACCGACGAAATTTTCAAACTTCTCGAAATTCTATAAAGTCCTATGGCTTCTTTTTCTTCCTTCCCCCACATTTGCGTAGATCCAAAATTTCAAGGATTTCAATTTCATACTTTCTATATCTGCCTTGTTTTTTTAATTTTATTTTATCAACCAACCACCCCCCACCCCCCGCGCCTTAACCATGAGAAAGATCCCATTGATTTTGATTCCCATCCTCTTACTATCCCTATTTCCACTATCTGGCGATGGGGCAATTTTACAAGTTGGCTTTCTGGCTGCTGCTGACAACTCATCAGATCTTTCTCCCTTTATTGGATGGAGTAATGTAGCTGGAGCGTTGGGAGTGGCGTGGAGCCGAATCGTTGAGTACGGACTTCTACCCACTTATGAGACTATGAAGTAAGATTTAACCTAGAATCATACTTGTAAGCTGGGCTTTTGCGGGCACCATAGTTTCTTTTAAAACCAACTAAGAATTTTTAGACTAACTATTAGGTTGGCGGGAAAGTCTTTGTCACTCTGTTTGTTTAATCACTGTTCTCGTATATGGAGGCTGTGTATGATATCGACTCTAGTGAATAACAAGGTGATAAGAACCTTCCATATAAACAAGTCCCCATCTCCTTCCCTGCTCCTCATCTGTAATTGAAACGATATGTTTGTTCCCACTGCTATTCACATCAGACATGTTTTGATTTACCTCTTCCTATCTCACACCACGATGAAGGATTCGGAAACTTTCTTGAAGAATGTGTACAACACACATGCCCCTCACTACAATACTATTCGCAATTGGTTCCATCGTTTCGAAAAAGATGACTTCTCGCTCGATGAAAAGGATCGCTCTGGGAGACCCCGTGAGTTGGATTTGGACAAGCTGAAGCACGCATTGCATTCGGATCCATTTCAATCTAGCCGTGAACTAGCTGTCACATTCGGAGTTCACCATAGCACAGTCCTTGAAGGTTTGAAGTCT